TCTCTCTCTCTCTCTCTCTCTCTCTCTCTCTCAATAAGAATAAATACATTATACATACAGAAACTGTACGCATAACCACAAAAACAGTAGTTTTTGCTTGTCCGACTAAATAATACTATAAGGTAGACTTATATAACATAAAAGGGTCTAATAAAAACTGAATATTACAGCTGGACCCAGTAAAAGTATTGTGTCTTTAGTGTCAAACAAACATGGGTTTACTTTGCTGATTTCCAGTCATTGCACAATATTATCGCCTAATAAGATATTGTGCACCATAATAATAATAATAATAAGCTGTGAGGGATCGAAAAAATTAATTTTAAGAGTAGCTGCAGACAAGAAAGCTGTTGAGATTTTTCAATGTACGCATTAAATTAAGTTGGGTCAAGCTAATGTGTGTGGGATAGAAAGGGAGGTGGAAATTGGGGTTTCCCTTTATTTATTTATTTATTTTTTTTCCTTAATACATAGGAGTATTTCTTTTTGTTTATTTTTAGGAGAATCATCTTTTATCGTCAATAGATGCAGTGCTAGTGAACATATGATAGAGACGACCACTATTAGCAAAAGGAAAAAAAATCTATATATATAGGTACATATAAATAGTTCGTGTTACAAATAAATTGTTATTTTCCCGTCAATTCTTTGTTATAATTGGAAAATTTGTATTTATCATTTTTGAATTCTTCTTAATTTGTATGACATTAAGAAACAATGGAGACGATCAAAATCATTTTTACCGGTTACCTTTTTTTTTCAAAAAAAAAAAAATAAAAATGGAAGAGATATTATACCTAATACAAGTGTAACGTCCGACCAGCTGAGAACCGCTCCAAACTCGCCTTCCTCGCCGGTAGAATGCCGAAACCTGCGCGAAACTCTCATACCGGAGGGATTTTTCGGTGAAGAGCCTCAAACGCTCAAGTCAACATTGAGAAGATGAATAATATATGTAGAAAATGTATAAGTATGAGAGATTGTGTGTAAAATGAGAGATAAATAGGGACGAGTTACCAGCCCTAAGAGCTGCCCGGGCAAGCTAAGTTGGCTGCCCCAACTGCCCGGTCGTACGATCGCCTGCCTCCACTATCTTGGTGTCAGAAACGCGTCAGAATGTGTCAGGGAATGTCAGAGGCCGTTATTGCCCTGGACCACTCATTGTATGTCGCGTGTCCTCCGCTCCTGTGCTGGAGATTCCCTGTGAGGCTCTAGGGTTCGACCACATCCAGGCGGGCTGTTGAGTCATTCTGTCATGGCTGGGTCTGACCATACTTGGGCGATCACCCTCTGCTATACTCGACTGTTTAGTCCTTCGGCCAGATCCCCTGTGTACCGGGATTTATCCAGCCCTGTTGTATCCACCTATCTTTGACCTCGAGGCCTTCCATAGTTCGACGGGTATTCCCTTCGACCAACCTGATCAACTCGGTCTGTTCTACTGACCCATCGGACCGGTCCGGTACATATAATATCTTATATCATCTAGTCCACCCCTCCCACTCTGGTCGAGTTTGAATAACTCGATCTAATATTAGGTCCTCGTCTGTGCTCTTAGTTGCTTTTCCCTATTTTTCGACCACCATGTGCATCACTCGACTTTTCTGAGAATGTCTTAAGTAGTAACCGCCACTTTTCCTTTTGAAATTCAAATTCTTCCACTTGTTGCAACTGTCAGAGGCGTCTCTTCATATGTCGGGCGTCATCATTGCTCCGTGATTCGTGCTACTTTGAATTTTGTGCCCACTTTAATACGCTTCATGTAATGACCGTTAGATCTCCCGCTATAATCCTACGGCCAGTGTCTCTGTAACCGTTCACTTGTCCTTTAATCCAGGCCTTTGGATATTTGCGATCCAACGGCTAACCCTATATCTTCTTTAATCCTTATCTCCTATAAATACCCTGGTTCCCACACTTAGCAAAATTTTTACCTTCCGCAAACTTTCGCAATCAAATTTTTCTTACTGTCTTGTACGTTCGAGCATCCCTGCACTTCACATCCCTCAATCCCATCGCCGGCTCATCTTCAATCGCCATGAGTAAGTTCTATTTAATCTCTGGATTTGTGTGTGTTATGTTTTTGTTTGATTTTGCGTATTCTATTTCTCTTTTTCTTCCCCTTTCCACGAACCCGATTTCGCCTTGCCGGTTGTATGATATTTTGCTCCTCTTCTCTGTTTCACTCTGCAAAAGTCCGCTTGAGGCTCTTCTCATTTTTTCCTTTCTTCTGTTACTCGCCTTAGTCCTCTTTCCCTTAGTTCTTTTAATTTTTTTTTTCAGATTTCGCGACTTCGAGCAAAAATGACTGGTATAGCGGCAAGGATATGACCTCTACTTCTTTCTCATCAACTGCAAGCCTATCGAGCGACTATGTCCAGAAAATTCTCCAACCAGAACCCCTTAGCATCATTCGACCCACGATCATTAGCGATAGTCCTTCGGGCACTTCTATCTCTCCTTCCTCCTATCTGGTCGACCAGCTTGAGGAGGACGTCACTAGTCGTCCCCCTTCTCCACCCACCGAGTGTCCTTGTCAAACCATTGGTTAAGACGACGAGGTCGAGGACGATCCGAAAGATTTTATCCCTTTGTCCTCCCGTGATCCCAAGGATTTTGTTCCCTCTGTCCTCTCGCGTGCCTTCTTCTTCGACCCCCAAAAAGCGCTCCTCTTCCTCCTCTCGCAGTGCCAACTGGTTCGACGGGGACCGTTATGGTTCCTCCGCGATGGTGCTTAGCCCCTCAGATAACGATACTTATGACAATCCTCCCACCGGTACATATACTTTCTTCCTGGTCCAATTCGACCTTGGCTTGCGTTTTCCTATCTGTCAGTCTTTGTTCGATCTCTGTGCCTTGTATGGCTTAGCTCTCAACCAACTGCCCCCTAATGCTTTTAGGATTCTAACCACTTCCATTATCATCTCCTTTGTTCGTATGGGTCGAGTCGACCATGATTTTTTCCGTTATTGCTACCTGGCCTCCAAACAAGCTGGGGGCCTGTATTTGAAGAGCCGAAATGGTGCTTATTTCATCGCTAACCGCACTTCAAACGTTTCTAGGTGGAAAGAGAAGTTTGCGTATATAACCCCTAAAACTCCTCTTCCTTGGGCCGCCATCCTTTTGCTCAAGTAACTTCCTTTTGAGGTCAAGACCCCTGTTAATAATTATGTCTTCAACCATCGTATCGCTTTGTGGAACTCCAATGCTATGGCTACTTCTTCTTTGCTTAAGAATGAACACCTCCTTCATCATTGTGGCATACTCACCCATAAATTTTTCTCTCTTTCCCTTCCTAAAACTCTTATTGGTCTCTGCATCGATTCGTCGTTTGCTGAACTTTATATGAAAGCTCACACAAGTGCTCGAATCAATATTGTTATCTCCCTAATATTTGTTCTTATTTTTGTGCACCTTTTGTTGTCGATCAAACTTTTACTAATTTGTGCTCTATTCATGCAGAGGGATTTTTGCCCAGGCCCAACCTAAAGAGATCTGCGGAGAAGGGGTATGTAAGCAAGGACTTCTCGGGCCCAGCGGACAAGACCAAACATACTTCCTCGACCAAGGAGGTGCCACCCCGTACCAAGAATTCGGGAGCTTCTTCTAGTTCGAATAAATAGAAGAGTCTTCTCCCTCCTCCCAAATAAACCGACCATTCTGCCCACCCATCGTCCAAAGATGCCGATGCGGCGAAAAAGAAGCTCTGTTTGGAAGTGGCCATTCCTCCTTCCTCTGGCCAAGTAGTCGACCATCCTAGCTCTCCCAACAAGCGACCTCATCTTGAGTCGCAGCCTGCTGGGGCCCAACTTGTGCAACAGTCTTCCCGCTCCCCTCCTCCTTCCTTAGTAGGAGCTGGTCCTCGAGTGGCTATCTCTCGTCTTATTGGCCTATTGCCCTTCGAGGACACGCACAGTTGGGCAGTCGGCCGCCGAGCCCAAGGCGAGTATGTTGCTCGCGCCTTGATACAGGTACATTCATCCGTTACCATCATTTTTCCGTTAATTCCTCGATTATCACTGTTTGTATCTTGATCTCCGTTATCCTTGCAGACTCTGGTCTCTGTTGCTTCTCTCCTCGAGGAGACCCTGAACAACTCTGGCCGCCCTCTCCCGATGGTCGAAGGGGACAACAGACGTCTCGACACGGAGAACCAACGGCTCAATGCCGAAAATCAAGAGCAGCTCAAGGTGCGCCACGAGCTAACTGAGCAGCTAAAGAAGGATGAGTTGCGCTATAAAGATGCGCTAAAAGGAAAGGATAAGGTCCTCGAAGCGGAAAGGTCCAGCCGGAAGAAAGAGGTCGAGGATGCAGTTGTTTTTGCCGTTGAGCAGTCCCAAAAGGCCTTGTGGAGATCTCAGCTTGGCCAGAGTTCCTCAAGGCTTATCGGGAGCAGCTGATCGACGACTACCTATGTTCGACTACCTTTCTCAAAGAGCCTTTGGGTATAGGGCTCGACTTCTACACCTACAATGTAGAAGATGTCGAGCGACAGTTGAAAGAGCAGAGCTACACGGGCGAGCTCGATCACAATAAACTTTGGGATGCCATTCCCGCTGTGCTTTCCAACTTTACTGGTGATCCTAGTCTGCCC